ACCAAATTCTCAAAATGATTTTTATCTTCTTATTTATTTTTTCCGCTGTTATCTCTTTGGAAGTTTAAATTGTCTATTAACCCCTTACAATCTGAGAGCAATGTTATCTCTCTGATATTCATCTTCTTTGCCACTAAAAGAGAGTTAAGCATTGCTTTTGCCTCAACAAAGGCAGCATTTTTGTATCCCGGTTGACTCCAAGTTGATTCAACTATATAAGTATTTATCACCCTTGTGACGAGTTATCCACCATTACGTCCAACGAGCTAAAGATCGCCAGCTTTGGACGATCTACCTGTAACGACAAGGCTGGCACTTTTCAAATAAATATTTTTTATCATAACTTGAGTTTCGAGAATCTATTTGAAGCACGGTTTGAAGCGTTGGAAAGTTAACGCGTAGAACTATCTCATGGGGATGCATTAAGAGACTAAATTTTCATTTAAGGGTGTGAATAAATTGTTTTCCTTAAGATGTAATATTATGTGATGGTTAATGATGATGGAAGAACTTTTAATTGTTGTGATCGATTGAATTGATGAATACCTTATGAGGAGTGATGTTAATATTGATGTTATTGTTGATGCCAATGCATGAACGATTGTTAAGAATTGCATGTATAATTAAGTGAAGTGTTATAATTAGTTGCATAATTATGATTGGTGAATTATTGTTGTGCATATATATTAATATGATATATGAATATGTATGTTGTTGTCATACTTGTGTAAATTATCCAATGGTGATTCATGATGTAAACATGAATATATTGTGTCGTGATGATGGCCTTATTTAGTGCAATTGTGCATTTGTCATGCATCATTTGTGTACGGACTTCGGTTCGGTGGTGTTCTCAGGTTCAATGGTGGGATCGGGAGCGAGTAGCTGATTTCCATATGATAGAAATAGTGAAGCGTTGCTAATTCAATGATGAGTAATCAGTAATGATTTTAGTATGCTAAGGTTCATTGGTGGAATCAGGAGCGAGTAGATGCATTCCGTAAATGGGAATCAGTGAAGCGTTATTGATTCTATGATGACGAATCAATAATGATTTGGTGCGCTCTGGTCCAGTGGTGGGATTGAGAGCAATTGTGGATGAATATCAATAATATACCTCTGATGTCGAAATATGAATATGTGTGTTATTGTGTGATGATTATGTGTTGGTGATTGTGTTTATGTAGTATTACACGTGCTATGTTTTGCATCGTTAATTTATTTGAGCGTATTCACATCCACTCTATTTGTTGTTATGTATGTGCTCCTCTGAGGTACAGACAATCATGTACAAGAGTATATGCTTGATGCTAGAGGATGGCGATATGTCGCTTTAGCTATTTATCGTTCGAGTATTAGTGAAGTTACTATATATATATAACAGTGGGAAACATGATGTTCTATGTTTCCTTTATTGCATGTCTTATTTCTTTTGAGGATTGTGGAACCAATTTCTCATTTAATTGTTGTTGATATTTATATGTTAAACTTATTGGTTTCCGCTGCTTATTTTTGAAAGTTTTATTTATTGTTCTTTTATGCTATGGAGAAGCATGAGTGATACTCTATTTGTTGAGTTATATTGAATCATTTAATTAAATGTCGAGTCGGGGGAAAATGGTGTTATATAGTAGTATCAGAGCAAGTCGATCCATCCTGCCAGGTTGTGTAATTTTTTCTGTTCCATGGTTGTGTAATTAGGTCAAAGATACCTAAACCTTTCTAGAAATATTTCTTATTTTCTTGAACCCTATCCACACACTTGATGAATGAAGCATCCTAAGCTGGAGGAGAAGAATGTAATACCCTATTCTTGAAGAAACTAAAATCAAAGGTTGTATCTACAAACACCAATGGCTCATAAGATGGCTAGCATGGAAAGAAATCTCTCACCATTTCATGTTTCTTAATATGTCTATGAACAAGACCCATGAAAGCATAAATGGTGCCTATTATGGAGAAAGAAATCAGGGTGTTACCATACCAAACGTTTCTTCTTCCATCCTCTATGAGAGGTTCATGAATGTAAGTGCAATCGTTGATAAAAATTAGCTCTTCAATATCAGCAGTTAAAGCAGGATGTGATTCAATTTTTGGAGTCATCGTTGATTCTCAAAGGTTTTTTTAGAAGAAATGTGATGAGGAAGATGATAAACTGCATAAAGCTCTTTAGGGTTCTTTTTTCTGTTTATTTTTCAAAAGAAGAGGTTGTGAAAGAGAAGAGAGTTGAGTGAAAATGTTTTAAATAGCCAAGTGAAAAGGAAGAAGAAAGATTTCATTTTTTCCCTCCAAATAATTTTGGACACATGGCGCACTCAGGTCAGCAGTTGGCATCAAAAGGTAATGGAAAAAGATGAAAAAAATGAAATTAAAATGATTTTTGTCTTAATTTTTTTTTAGTGGTGGTTTAATCTCCTAGGAAATAAGATATGATATGATGATCAGTCGTACACACGTTTGTGACGTGACAGTTTGGTAGGAAGTGGTCATGGTGACCAAGGAAAAAATTAAATAATAAAACGTCTAGTTGATGTGACGTGTACATACGGGGAAAATAGTGTCAAAAGGTTTCAAAAATGCCATATTTCTTCCATATGACACATGATCGAAAGTGGCATTTTTAAGGGGACATCTGTTAGCCTGAAATCTCTATTTTGAAAAATTAAATTGAATGTAGCATTGGAAAAATGCTAAGTGTTAGCATTGATTGACACAAGTCGACTGGAACATTTCGACTATATGATCTTGAAACTTAGTTTGGAAGAATCTCAAAAGTAGATCTTGAAACATAGTTTGGAGGAGTCTCAAGAACAAATCTAATTGATTCATCGACACCGTATCAAAGTCGAAGCGTTCGATGGGCTTCAAAGACTTTGAAGATTTTGGAAACTAAGGACTTGAGAGGGGTTTTAGCGTTGTCAGCAACCACCTTCGACAAACAGATAATTATTAGTTGCTAAGAGCAATTACGAACGTTAGATAATGGTTTTTAACCGTTTTTAAGTATTGACGACGTGGAAGTGCTTTAGAGGGCCAAGTTGGGTGTTCTTATTATGTGTGGATTTTTTAGAAATAAGTTGGCAGAGACAGTTATTGTTAGTTTATTGTTAGTTTAGTGGAAGTAGAAAATTCATACATTGTAATCAAGGGTGCAAAATTCATATACTTTCTTTATAGAATTGAAGTACCCGAATCAAAGTGTGAAACCACTTGTGCGTAACACGTGAGTCTGCATCTCTTGTCTTTATTATTTTTATGTTTCATTAATTGAAACAGTTTATAATTCTTGTCATTTTCCATACTTGTTATTTACTATTTTTCGTTTAATATCATTTATTGCAGTTTTTATTTATTTTAATTCAAACTTTTGCATTTATAAAGTTTGTGTTCTCCTTCTCTGCATACAAATTGTCATCACGTTTATCCATAGTCATTTCACACATATACTTTCTTTTATATGTGTTTTGCATAAATTACTTCTAAAGTTTTTCAAATTAATCTCATGAACTATTTAAATTCGTGATTATTCGCTAAAAACACCTGCATACTAGACTCTTCTCAACTTTAAACAAGGTAGGAAGAGCCCACCATAAAGAAATAAAGGCAAGCTCTCTTACCTTCAAGATCGACACAACCCTAAGCTTGGAGGCTAGCTCGGTCTAGCTGACCCAATGGTGGCGCAGATAGGACAATCTATTAAGAGATTTTAAGCACTTAAACAATACATTCAAAGAACATATTAATGGTAATTAGAATAAGAGACTCCGACAGTTAAACAAAAACATTGATGAAAATTAATCATAAGTTAACCACGGATACCACTGAGACCTATAATTTGACCCAAGGATGAAGAAACAACCCAATCCATATTTCTCCTAACTAAAATTTTATTATCCCTCGCTGATAAAGTTGCATATATATTTCAAATACTCGATAAGAGGGCACTATGTGAATGAAGCAATAATAGAATCGGATTATCTTTCAAACTTTAGATTACAGAATCAGTTTAATTAATCAACAGTTGGTTTCTAAAAGTTCGCGACATTACACCACTTGCAGTTGCAGCATCTCTAATGGGTCCATGGTGATGGGTTTCTTAAAAGAAAAAGCTTTTTTTCTAAGTAGTGTCCTCTATAAAGCACCTCTCACTATATTATACAATTTTATCAAATGTTCCTTACCCTTTCACTCTTATGACATTAAGGTAATTTACACATATTTTTAGCAACATATCTCATTTATCTATACTAATATATATCTATAATATGTATATCTATACTAGGCAAAACATAGATTTGGTGTAATTTTTTTTTAAATATATTATTTTTAGTTTTTATTTTAAATTATAACTTTTTTTATTAACAAATGACGGTTACAGTACAGTGTATATTTTTTTATTATGTACAAATAAATTTTTTAAGCGTGAGTAACTTAAAGAATACACTATTAGACTAAAATATACCCTGAGCTATTTAAATATATAAAGTGACAATGTAGCATAGAGTAGGAGCCACATAACAGTCGTGGTGCAACAAAATTTTGATTGCTTAAAATTGAATCATTGTTTAATAATGAATTAATCATATCAAGAGAAAATACTAAAAAAACAGTCCATTAGCTCGTATCTTTATGCACGTATTATTATTATTCTATGACCAATAAATGAATTAGCATAGCTCACAATACAAATAATTCAATTCTTTGTATACCTATTCATCTCAACGACATGGAAATAAATAATGGCCACCCACTATCGCGGAATGTATTTGCCTCTTTGTTTTAAGGACTTTTCTATCTTAAGATTGGAATATCATCCCTTCGTAGTGAGTCACACAGCCTTTAAGGACAAGATAAAATGACTAACATATGCATGTCACCATGGCAAGATATGTGGGTCCAATGAATTAAACAATGGATATAGCGGTACCGACGATTCTTTAGGCATAGGAAACGTGGCTCATGAACCTAATTTTAAGGTTGAAAGATGAAAGAGGCAGTGATTAGAATTGGAAAAGGTGACGCAAGAACCACATAGCAGTTGTGATAGTGAGAAGGATTTTGGATTCCCATATATGGATACAAGTGGAGCTTGACATTTCACTCTGATCATAGGCACCAACATACACCATTGAACCGTTGTTAAGCTGCGGTGATGAATCACTGCCATCTGATTTCGGATTTTGTCCCTGCCACGATTTCTGACTGCGAAAACAATTATAAAAATATATTAATATTGGATTTTTTTCACTTAATTATAGAGACTAATGTTTTGAATAAGAGAGAACAATAATTGATATCAAAAATAGAATTTCACAAATTCGTCTTATACTTGTATCTGGATAGATATCAACTAAAGAGTCTTAAGGCGAATTAAAAAGAATATATATTAAAAAAGAGAGTAGTTGCGGTTATCTCACTCATTACTTATCGCATCCAACGGTCATATTTCATTTGATAGTTATTCGAAAATTAAAGTCAATTTCCGGAGAATTATTATTAAGCTTAATTAATAATCGCGTTTCACGAATCTAACCTGGGGTACTTGTTATTATTGGAAGGGCAAAACGTGATTATGTATTCAGAAGCAGAAGCACATGTAAACGTGCTAGTCTTATCATCATACGCGTAGCTATACGCGCGTGGGCAAGCGTTCTTAAACATCTGAGAATAACTCGAAGGCTTGCAAGTGTTAGGCGAACCAAACGCGCCGCTGCAACAATACTGCGCCGATCCAAACGCCTCACACGCACTTTTACACGCCACGTTTTCTTTCCCGTCCACGCTCGTAACCCTAAGCTCTGAAGGACACGCGGTGAGTAAATCCCCAACGCAACCAGTACTCGTACAGTTATCACCGGAGCCACCTTGTGGAACAACCAACATAGGCACGTTGTAACCGTCAACTAAACTGACATCGAAGAAATCGAGTCCACCGGATCCGTCGAGAGTGAACTCCGCTAAGGTAGCAGGTGGTGTGGCTCCGTTGCCGGAGCATTCGAGTTTACCGGAGTTACAATCGCCGGTGAGGCAGGTGAATTTTCCGGTGGAGTCTTGGGAGCAGAGTGTGCGTCCCCAGAAACGGCCTCCCCAGGAAGCGGGTGGAGTAATTGATTTAGAATCTCCGGATTCGAGAACGAAACCGGTGGTTGAAATTGGCGCGATTCCGGCGTTGGAAAGAAGTCCCGGCCACACTGTGTAGTTGCATTTGTTAACAAATATGAACGTTGTTGATATCACTAGTGAGGATGAAAGATAAAGTGTGAGGAAAAATAAAAATAATTTTGTAGTTAATTGTTCCATGTAGTGAATTGCTGATAAGAATTTATTAAGGGACAAAAGTTTACTGAAAATGGAATTTGGAACTTTAGCTTTTATAGGCAACAAATAGATATTGCTAAATTACACAGAAAATGAAGACGATTTTCCGGGCGGTTCTGAATGGAGTTTAGTAATTTTACAGGGTTTTCGGTTCGGGTTTCGAGGGAACCCATGTGGGGCTAGCTTGATGGAAAAAAAGGAAATGGGTTTTTTAATAGAAATAATTCTTCTCGTTTATGAGATTAACCAATTTGATTCTCAAATCATATTTTAAGTATTTAAATTAAAAGCTTTCATCTTCTTTTCTTCTTTTCAAAAAACATTATAATCCTATAAAAACATTTTAGTCCATGATACTAGAAATATTAGTCCTTTCCTATCATATATCAAGTACGATAATGGCTATGGTATTTCAAATCAGAAATATTATGTTTAAAAGATGGTGTATATTTTGGTTTCTTTTTGGGTCGTGAATGGATCCACACTTGAGATAACTGGGTCGCATGAGATCCCAGACCCATGTATATTTAGGATCGAGAGTGAAAGACTGATTTAAGAAAAACCTATCTTTTTTATGATAGGATTATAGGAGTGTTAGTGCGTGAGACATTTTTATTTGGGAGAAAAAGAAAGAGAATATGAAAATAAGGATTGATATTATAGTTAGACAAGTCACTTAATGCAGACTTAATAGTATTAACCATACAAATCATATGTAATTAGAATATTTGATTTGGTCTTTATTTGTTACCTTATTAGTAGCTTGTAGATTAAGTGACTCTGTATAAGTACATCATTGTGTAATGAGAATATAGAACACTCAAAACCATTCAATTCATATTTCTAACTTGGTATCAGAGCTTTAAGCTCTGAAAGCTCTCGATCCACTAAAATCCCAAAATGACAACCGCTGCAAACTCAAAGAAAAATGATCTACCAACATCAATTTCTGTCAAGCTGGACAGAACTAATTTTCCCTTGTGGAGATCACTAGTTTTACCTGTCATTAAGGGCTGTAAACTAGACGGCTATATACTAGGAACAAAGGAATGTCCTCAAGAGCTCATCATAACTGATGGTTCAAACAAAACCAAAAATCCAAGCTTTGAAGAATGGATAGCAGATGATCAAATGATGCTTGGGTGGTTATTGAATTTGATGACCACTGACATTGCAACACAGTTGATGCACTGTGAAAGCTCCAAACAACTTTGGGATGAGGCTCAAAGTTTGGCAGGTGCACAATCCAGATCTTAGATCACATACCTGAAATCCGAATTTCATTGTACAAGAAAAGGAAATCTAAAAATGGAGGAGTATTTGACTAAGATGAAAAAGCTAACTGACCAACTGAAGCTTGCAGGTAATTCAGTCACAATCTCAGATCTAATCATTCAAATCCTGAATGGTTTGGACTCTGACTACAACCCTATAGTAGTCAAACTCTCAGATCAACCATCACTCACTTGGGTTGATCTACAAGATCAACTCTTAGCCTTTGAAAGCAGGCTCGATCAACTCAACAAACTCACAAGCATGTCTCTCAATGCTTCTGTAAATGTAGCCAACAAAACTGAATACAAAGGCAACAAGTTCAACCCAAACACACAGAACTCAAATTGGAGAGCTTCCAATTTCAGAAATCACAGAGGAGGCAGAGGCAGAGGAAGAATGTTCAGACCAACATGTCAAGTGTGCAACAAAACAGGTCATATAGCAATAAATTGCTTCCACAAATTTGAGAAATCATACTCAAACTCATCAACTGATGCAAGCAAAAGTGATCCACACAGTGCATATTTGGCTTCACCTCACTATGCACAAGACTATGAGTGGTACTTTGACAGTGGTGCAAGCAATCGTGTTGCACATCAAACAAACAAGTTTGAAAATTTAACTAAGCATGATGGTAAGAATTCTCTTGTTGTTGGAAATGGTGCTAAGCTGGATATTATTGGAACTGGTTCATCCAATCTAAATTCACTTAAATTGCATAACATGCTATATGTACCAAACATTACCAAAAATCTGCTTAGTATATCAAAACCAACTCATGATAATAACATCACTGTTGAGTTTGATGCTGATTGCTGTTTTGTGAAGGACAAAATAACAGGGAAGACACTCCTAAGAGGGAGACTTTAAGATGGATTGTACCAACTCACAGGATCAGATAATAAGTCCAATGATCCTTGTGCCTACATTTCAGTCAAGGAAAGCTGGCATAGAAAACTTGAACATCCCAACAATAAAGTTCTAGACAAAGTCTTGAAGAACTGCAAGATCAAGGCACCACCTAGTGATAGTGACCACTCTACCTTTTGTGAAGCTTGTCAGTTTGGGAAGATGCATCTGTTACCATTTAAGTCTTCTAGCTCACATGCCCTTGAGCCATTAGATTTGATTCACATTGATGTATGGGGTCCTTCCTCAATAAATTCCACCTCTGGTTTTAAATACTATGTCCATTTCATAGATGACTATAGCAGATTTACTTGGATCTTTCCCTTAAAACATAAATCTGAAACCATACATGCCTTTTCTCAATTTAAAAACTTGGTGGAAAACCAACTAAACAAAAAGATAAAGACCATCCAATGTGATGGTGGTGGTGAATTTAAATCAATTCAGAAACAAGCATTAGAAGCAGGCATACAATTTAGAGTGTCTTGTCCATACACATCCCAACAAAATGGTAGAGCTGAAAGAAAACATAGACATATTGCTGAGCTAGGCTTAACTCTACTTGCTTAGGCCAAAATGCCAATGTCCTTCTGGTGGGATACTTTCTCAACTGTAGTCTACTTGATCAACAGGATGCCTTCAACAACAAATTTTGATGAAAGTCCCTACACCCTAATCACCAAAAGGGAACCTGACTATAAAGCCTTAAAACCTTTTGAATGTTCATGTTATCCATGTCTCAGACCATACAATCAACATAAAATGCAATTCCACACCACAAGATGTGTATTTATAGGCTACAGCAACTCTCACAAAGGCTATAAATGTCTCAACTCCCATGGAAGAGTTTTTATCTCAAGACATGTTGTGTTCAATGAGAATCACTTCCCTTTTCATGATGGCTTCCTCAATACAAAAAGGCCATTGGAAGAGATAAACAATACTGACCATTTACACAGTTTATTTCCTTTATGTCGTGCAGGTAATGATAATCGGAGTCCAACAAATGAAACAGAAGCAACTGCAAATCAGGAAATTCCCACACCAGCTACAAGTACTGATACTCAGCAACAAATCAATATTCAAGATGAATGTGACTCAATCAATATAGAGGAAAACAACATTGAAACAACCATGGCATCAAATAAAGACAATGTTGAAACAAGTAATAACATTAGTGATCAACATGAAGTGGTGGCAACTCACAAAATGCGCACCAGAAGCAAATCAGGGATTCATAAACCAAAGTTACCTTACATTGGCCTCACTGAATCAGAAATACAAGAAACTGAACCAAGAAATGTGAAGGAGGCACTCACTAGTCCACTTTGGAAGGAAGCAATGACTAATGAGTACAATGCTCTCCTGTCCAATCACACATGGAATCTAGTACCATACACAGGCCAAGAAAATATCATTGACTCAAAATGGATCTTCAAAACCAAATACAAAGCATATGGATCCATTGAAAGGAGAAGGCGAGATTAGTTGCCAAGGGTTTTCAACAAACAACTAGATTAAACTATGATGAAACATTCAGTCATGTGGCAAAGGCTATAACAATCAGAATTATCCTATCAATAGCAGTTCATCTCAACTGGGACATCAGACAATTGGACATAAACAATGCATTTCTAAATGGCTACCTAAAAGAACATGTCTTTATGCATCAACCGGAGGGATTCCTCAACTCCACGCATCCAAATTACATCTACAAACTTTCAAAAGCAATCTATGGTCTGAAACAGGAACCTAGAGCATGGTATGATAGCCTCAAACATGCACTGCTAAGTTGGGGATTTCAGAACACCAAAAGTGACACTTCACTATTCTTTTCTCAAAGGTACTGATCACACTACCTTTCTCCTCATTTATGTTGATGATATCATCATCACAGGTAGCAATAAAAAATTTCTAGAAGCTTTTATCAAACAGTTAAACACTGTGTTCTCATTAAAGGATCTTGGAAAATTACACTATTTTTTGGGAATTGAAGTACAAAGAAACAATAGTGGCTTGTACTTAAAGCAATCCAAATACATTAGAGACTTGCTCAAAAGATTTAACTTTGAAAAAGTCGCTGCTTGTCCGACACCAATGGTAAGTGGTAGACAATTTACCATTGAGGGGGAACCAATGAAAGATGCAACTCAATTCAGACAAGCCATGGGAGCACTGCAGTACCTAACCAACACAAGACCTGATATAGCTTTTTCTGTTAGAAAATTAAGTCAGTACATGAGTTGTCCTACAATGGACCATTGGCAAGGCATAAAAAAGAATATTCAGATATCTTCAAGGTACCATTGATCACTTCCTACATATTAAAACATCAATTGATCTAGACATCACAGGGTTCTCAGATGCAGATTGGGCAACAAGCATAGACGATAGAAAATCAATTGCAGGGAAATGTGTTTTCCTTGGTGAAACTCTAGTATCGTGGTCTTCAACGAAGCAAAAGGTAGTTGTTAGAACACAGATTGGTTCTTAATAATAACTCTTTGTTTTGATGATAACTGTTAGGAAATTTTATATTTAAGAATTATATACTCTAAAATTTGCTTGTAAGTTTTACTGCAGATTGAAATGAAATTAACTCTCTAGAAGCAAATCTGAATTGTATACAAGAAGTTATCTAGACTCTGAAGCGCCAGATGCACTCATTAGAAGATTCTGATTGCTGTTTACAGAAGATCCTGAGCGTAGTCTCCAGAAGGATCTGAAGCAAAAAGCTCCAGAAGATTCTGAAGCTAGTCAGAAGCATCTGAAGCAAGAAGCTCCAGAAGATTCTGAAG